AACTTTATACTACAGAATAATGAAGGAAATCAACCCTCAGCGTGAAACCAATAAAACAAAATTGAGGGACCTAGAACTAATCAAAAAGAATTCGTCTTTGTCAGGTAGATCCAGCATAAAGTATATACTCGGTGTCTCTAAAAGATGGAAAAAATTCTTCTCATACATGTTAATGTAATATTTTGTAAACCGGAAATTAATAAAAACCCGATATCTCAGAAACGGCTGCTAAAATCAATTCTTACCAAATATACCTTTAAGTAAAAAATGTTCTAGAACAAAAATTGTTATCTGAAAGTTAATGTAATTTAAATAATTTAATTCGGCAAAAAAAATCAAATATTTGAGAAAAACTAAATACAAATTGAACTTTTGATAATGCCTCGTCGTCAGGGATCTAAGATAATTATTTTTTGCATTAAACGCGATATGATATTGACAAGACTATACGAAAAGCGAAGACTGAAATTGTAGGCGGAAGGTGTCGAGAATCTCTCAAGGATTAATGTCCTTAGAAACCATTTTAGCATTACGGAAATTGAACCTAAATGGAGTATTGTCCTTAAAGAAGAAACTTATCGATCTCCTTTTATGCATGTGACTTGATAACGACATTTTATTGAATTTTATAATCTAATGGTCAACTAATATAAAAACTAATCTAAAAAATGCATACATATTCACATTTCTGGGACATTATCTTCAAATGTAGCTAAAACTAATTTCACAAATGGAAAAAATCCTAGGCGCGCCAATGATTAAAATTGTTATACGCTCGGGAAATCAGAAGCAAAAGAAACTTGAAATCGGTCGTTTTCTGAAAATCGGGCAATCGTAAAATATGGGAGTTCCGAACTTTTTCCAACTTATTAGAAACTGAAACATAGATTAACCGCTATGCATAAAAGTATATAGATATAGATATTGCATTCGCGTACCGCCATGGGACTCAAATAACATTGCGAATAACATTTTTGACGTCAAATTATAAAACGTATAATTAGCTGTTCGCGACTAGAGCAAAAATACTATCACAAGGCCAATAGAACATTTTGTGTCACATTTTATAAGTTGTTCAAATCCGTGCAATTTTTTTCTTTAAAATTTATATGGTCGGCACCCATGCGCGCGCCTCTGCAAAAGTGTTTTGTAAAGTAAATTATTAAATTTTATTAACCTTTCTCTGTCACTGATTTTAGTTAACTTTTAAATTTTATTTAATTCACCACAAATGCATTTATTTTATTTTCATTACAATTTTTGAACCTCAGTGGGATTAGTGGATAACAAATATGGTTTCAGTTATTTTGCACGCAAAATTCCAGTGAGATTTTTAAAAATAATGTAAATAATGCATTTTAGTAATTTACCAAATCTAACCATTACAGGTAATGTAAAATTTCAAGCTTGTGGGAAACTAAATCACGGGAAATGAAAATAATTGATTTTAAATAACCAATTTTTATCAGAGCCAATTCTGAAAAAAAAAAACAAAAATAAATGCATTAGAAACTGTAAATGGAGATATCTTAAATTAAATTAGTAAACAATTATATTTTTGCGAAATTCATATTCCTCGCACAAAATAAAAAACCTCAATCCCTGTTTCATGAAAAAATATATAGAAAAACTATAGAAAATTAGAAAATTAATTTTCACTTAGACGCCCTTATAACTTTTGTGACAATGTCACTTAGCAAGAGAAGTAGTTATAATTAGACCGGACTCAAAAAAACAATACTGCTAATAAATGAACGGTGATTTGGAAAAAATACTTCAGAATATACGAAAATTTCAATCTTTTGAGAAACTAAATCAACTCAAACGAAACCAATTTATTTTAAATAACAAATTTTTATCAGAGCCAATTTTGAAAAAAAAATTGCAAACCTAAATGCATTAGAAACTGTAAATGGAAGAATCTCCAAATTAAACAAGTAACAAATTATATCTTTGCTAAACTCATATTCCTCGCCACAAAAACAACACTCAATCCCAATTTCATGAAAAAATAGATAAAAGAATTATAGAAAATTCGAAAATTCATTTTCAATTAGACACCCTTCTAACTTTTGTCACAATGTCACTAAGCAAGAGAAGTAGTTATAATTATACCGGACTAAAAAACACAATACTGCCTATAAATGAACGGTGGTTTCGAAAATATACTTTAGAATATAGGGTGGTATTACAGGTATTATCTCAAATTTTTGATATACCTTCGTATGAATCGTTCTTTTAAAATACCTTTTAAATGACATTTAATTAGGCAACACCTTGTATAATTGCATCGGCTAATTGCACAACAAAACACGAAACAGAACGAATTAACTAGGATCGTTCGTTTCAATTTAACATTTGACAAAGCTTTTAATTACTGTGCCATGACTTTTTTCTATTATAAAAAAATGCGAATGGATTTATCACGTTTTTCGATATACATTAAACAATGGATGCGAAAACCGTGTTGAAATCAACTTGTTTCATAATTATACGGACAAAGATAGATTGCCGTTCCAATATATATTTCTACGGTTTTGAACTGAAAAAGCAACTAGAGCCGTAAAAGAGTGATCTATCAGTCGCAGTAAAACCCCCGACTTTCCTATAGTGCGATTTTATTTATTATAAGAGGTGTAGGCTCCATTTTAGAAAGATTAATTTCTGCCGTTGCCTTGGTAGGCAGATATATAGTGATTTATTGTTTTGGACTAAAGCGCGGTAGTTAAAAGTCGTAAAAAGGCAGCAAAATCCACATAAATTATGTTCCCGATAGCTCCCTAAACAATGAATGGATAAACGTATAAATTATGCCTGTTTGGGACATGGGATCGAGAAACCAAAACGAAAAATTCGATTAAACTGCGATGTTTACTGTTTGTCGTCACTTACTAGAAATATTGAAAGTGTTCAAAATAGCGTTATACGTCAGCTTGGCATAGAATCGCGACTTCTAAACACCAGAAACAATCAATCAACTGCAAGGGTCCGATCACCATAACACCCTCAATTTAATGCAGGTTGAATTAGAAAGACGACTTTTTCAAAGAAACCTCCATTGGCTATTGTAATACTTTTTACAAAACTTCTGGATTCCGCCTGCGCCGGTTTTTGTTGAGTTGAACTTGCGAACGTGTCAGTCACGCTCTGAAGAATCCAACAGGATGATTGGCGAAACGTTAGGACGTTCTACTCAACATAAACCGGCGCAGGAGGAATCCAGAAGTTTTGTAAAAAGTGCGACTTGCCAACTTTAACTTATAATCCAGCAGTTATTAAATTTCCCTAAGTAAATTAAATTTGAACATTTGAACATTACAAAAAAGCTAATAGTTTTTTAATTTAAACAAATGTCAGGCGGTTAGATGAAACATACAGGGTGATTCAAAAATACGAGTTCAAGAGAAATTAAGAAGTCGCTATTTAGTTAGTTCAACCATTATGAAATAAAAACTGTTTTCGTGATTTCAAAAAGCATTTTTAAAATTTTTGTATTTGAGATTGATATAGATAAAATAATGAACCGAACTGCTAAGATTTCCCCAAGGGCGTCAATTGCTAAAAATCGGTTTAAATTAAAACAAACCTCGCATGTGCAATAGTATGAACACAAACGTGGCATTATAGTTACTACGGGCAGAGATGTTTCACGCCAATTTCCATTGATTATCTCGCCCTGTCGTCGAAATTGTTATGTACAACTCGAAACGAAGAAATGTAGCCGCTAGCAACAAATTTAATCCCTTAGGGCCGAAAAATTCAGTTTGAATATCGAATGATTTCGATGAGACAATCAATTGCAAAAAATACTCCATATCCGTCAACGCCGTTGTATACAGGGCGATTTATCTTCTATTAAAAAAATCTACTTCTAGCTATTAAAATGGTGTATTTCAGTTCTGTATCTATTGCCTCAGCAAATATTTTCTCTTTTCCTCCTCATTTTTAGTTCTATTTTATAATTTGTTTGTCTACGGACTAATATAAAAGGCGAAGCGACAATGGACTGCGCATCTCGCTAGTCCCAAAAAACGCCATTTTCGGTATTATCCTATAAAAGTGCAAAACAAAATAACAAAACGGCTGTTTCTTTCGTCTAGATAACTGCCTAAGAGCCCAACGATGCTTCCACGGTTGGGAAAGAATTGCAAATATATTCAAGACTTAAACTAAGGTATTTAGCTGTCTCTCTAACTCTGTGCCGAATAGTCGTTTAGCGTTTTAAAGTTAAGCCGGTATAAAGAGTTTGTTTGCTTATTAGCATTTCACCACTAAACGTTCACTATTAGCGTTTATCTGCCTATTTCCATTAAATATAATATGAAGAAATGCAGTAAATACAGGGTGATCCAGTTACGGCAGTAAAAAAATAGATTATTTTGAACTGTGACTAAATCCATTCATAATTACAAACCTTCGTCTTTTCAAGAGCAAGGGCATGGAAAGACATATTTTACATATTTTTTGATCTGAAAAGGACCATTAAAACAACAAAACGTTAACGAAAATAATTCATTGTATTACTACGGCAAAACTGTTTAGCGTCTCTTATACTCACGTAAAAGTGCGTAATAATTACAATAACTGTTTATAACAGATTGCCCGTTATAAGGTTGAGAAAACTTAAAGGAAGAGTTAAAATTAAAATATTAAACTTTCTGTATAACAATAATTTTATTCATTATAAGGATTATAACATCTACTTATCTCTGAGGTTAGTGTGATTGGATATTACCTAAAATTTCATTACGAAAAATTTTGTATATTTCGGGCAAGTACAGATTCTAACACCATAAGCTGCGAATGAATGAATTAAATCGACGCCAAATTAAAACATTTGTAGTTTCAGGGAAAACTTGTTAATTAAAACTCAAATGGAAATTGATTGTATTATTTCGAATATCGCCACAAAAGGTTCTCACGTAATTACAGATAGGGTGTATCGGTTTAAAAACCCTCTATTCACAAGATAATGCTAATCGTTATCATTATCGTTACAGTGCCTGAGGCGAGGATCCCTTTTACTGCGAGGAACATGTCGTCGACGCAGGTATTCATCAGCTGGGAACCGCCAGATATAGATCTGATCAATGGGGACTTCCTTGGATACCGACTGACATGGACCCAACTCAAGAAACCGCGATTAACTCAAGAAAAGTATATTCGAAATGCTAGCATTACGGTAAGATGTATTCCAAACACCTATTTGTACAAGCCGAAATATTTGATATACAAATGTTTTGCAGGAAATTTCAAATTTTTTATTATTTTTTTTTTAAATCGGAGCCAATCTGAATTCATTTTTAAAATTAATAATTTCATTAGCAATTGCTATGAACAAGTCCAGTTATCTTTCTTTTATTTACAATTTTTTATCGTCACCACAATCAGTTACACCGCACAATGAATATTTTCGTTAACTAACCCCATAAAAGATCATAAAAGAAACCTAATGATCGAAGATGCCTGTACGATTCTTCAACAACCATTGTTTTTTTTTTTCGGAAAACACTTGCTTCATAAATAACTTTTAATTTTATTTCGATAGAGTGACTTTCTTTTCTGCCAAAATATTCGCCATCTAACCTCCACTATTGGTGTTTTGTTAGTTGAACGAGGTAACTCAGTTTGGGAAAAAATATCTTAATAAAGAAGACTAACTAGACTCGTATAAAGCACTGCATGGTTGTTAGTAACAAAAACAATGCGGATGGGTTAATATGTGTTCTGCATATCTTTACAAATAAATTAATATTAAACTAAACAACTCATTTGATTGGTTAAGAAAAGTACAAATTTTGATAATACTTTTGCACATATTTTTTCATATCAAATTTATTTGTACCATTATTAATCTTTTTTTAAGTTGCAAAAATTGAATTTCGATCACAAACATCTTCGATTGGCTGCTACTGACAAAATTTAAGTTGAAAATAATTTTCAATATTTTTACTTCATAATTGTTTCTGAAACAATCACTATTCCCTGAGATACTTCGTTTTCGCGTTTGAAAATTAATTAAAATCATTTAATAATTCGGTCATTATTAAGTGTTAAAACAACAAATAACTACAAAACTGCTAAATTTTTTTACTTCAAATGAAAAAATTGCTTAAAATATATAATTTTTACTCAAAAAATTAAAAATATACCTGTCATAAAAGCTTTGGAGGCAAAATACGTGGCAAACCCCTCCCTAGTTCCTTTACGTAATAATAATAATAATAATAATTATTATTATTATTATTATTATTATTATTACATTTATTTCGCAACAAAATAATATAGGTTGCAAAAGAGTAGTTGAAAACAATCGCATAAAGTTCAAGTTCTACCCCTAGACACTGAAAGTAATATATGATCCGATCCAATAAATAAAAAAAATTCTACAGTTGAAAAAAAAATAGTATACAAGGAAAAATTATTTAAAAAAAAACAATAAAAAAAGGAAAATGCCCGCTACACACAGTCGTTCTCGAGAAGGTACTTTCTATAGAGACGTTCAAATAAGTATAAGTATTTCATTTCTTCCGAAACTCCATTCTACAGGTTATTAACGTTATCAGATCTTTGAAAGAAGGTTAGTTGATACGGTGGAGGCCATATATAACCACGAAACCTCAAGTTCAGCGCATGAACGTCAGTACAAAAGCTAATTTTGTTATAAAGATACTCAATGTAATTTACGCCCATTTTCCAATGTTTCTTAGGGTTTATATAATAATAATAATAATAAACTGTCTTTATTGATAATCAAAATATTGCAATATAAGTAACAATACAAGCAGCACCAACACCATAATTGTCAACAAAATACACACCCGTATGTACATCGTAAAGAGAAGAAATAGACGCACATCTTAAACTCATACGTCTTGGCTAGTTACGGGTGGGTCTAATAAACAATATTAATGCTTTTTTGAAGGACTTTATTGTGGGGAGGGACGTTATAGCGTAAGGAATTTCATTAAATAATTTAACTGCGTTATAGCTAAAAGATTTCTGGAAAGTTACCGAAGTGTGTCTAGAAACGCAATATCTTAAGCAATGACGGGTGTCTCGATTATGAATATAATTTCCTCTGCAAAGTTTATCAAACAAGTACGACGGGGCCTTATTGGAGTTCAGTAAAAAAACGAAAGTGGCTAACTGAGCTTTATATCGGTCCTCCAGCTTGAGCCAAACCGAATCAGAGAGGCACTGTGAAATATGGTCATACTTTCTGAGATTGTAACGAAAACGAATACAAGCATTCTGAAGTTGTTGGAGTCTCTCCTTATCTCGATTAAGTATAGCTGGCCAGTAGACAATACTGCAATAAGCGACATGGGATAAAACTAACATATCACAGAGTTTAAGTTTGACTTATTTATCTACTGAGAAAATGTTTATGAATATACAATGTCCTCAACCTATAAAAGGATTTTTGTAACACCAAGCCAACATTCTTAGAAAACCGCAAGTCACCGTCAAACCACAATCCTAAATTTTTACACCCGTCTGAAGAAGGAGGGATAATCTCATCATTTAGTGTAATCTTAAAAGAGGCGTTTTTTACAATATCTTCCCTTTTATTTCCAAATAATAACATCTGCGTTATGTTAGTATTCAATAAGAGGTTGTGAGCCGCAGATACCTCTGCAATTATTTTTAGATCTAAATTTATTTTAGTAGCAGCGTTCAAAGCTTCACTAGCAACAAAGGATAAATATAACTGAGTATCATCGGCGTATTGATGAGATTTACTGGATGAGAAACTGGATATCTGGCACGTATCCCAAAAATGACATTAACGACTTTTCGACCATTTGAATTATGCTGACAACAAATATATGCTTGGAAATAATATTTTTAGATTGCCACATGTAGTGCGTATCATCTTATTATCATGAGGTTTAAAACGAAGAGTAGTATGGAAATCTAGTCACACATTTCTTACATTGTTGGCATTTTAATTCTCCACCTTGAGTTTGCATGCAAAAGGTATCTTAAATAGTGTCACACTGTGACAACTTTTTTGCATTAATTTCTAAATACTGGAAACTATGTAAATCTTTCGAAATGTTCATTTGTTAATATTTGCGCCATAGAGTGAGTTGACAGACAAAATGAAAGATACAGTTGTGTTTCATTTGCATAAAGGTGACCGATCCAAATCGCAAACAAGATGTTATGTCACAAATATAAATAAATAGTAGATAGAAGAGGCCCAAGGATCGAATCTTGTGGGACACACACGCAATTCGCACCGCAGATGACACAGTATTTTTAAACTCAACATATTGAAGTATATTACTGAGATAATTGATTGCCAGCAGCAACTCGTGCTTTAATTTATCGCCTGAGAATAGTCAAGGGGTATTAGTTTTAATAATACAGTCGGTGCGATTTAAAAGAAACATATTGTATTTCTGCAGATTGCAAATCATTATTTTTTCAATGACTTTGAACTTTGGGATTTCGAATTTTAAAACTTTGTCAGTAGTAACATTTACGCCTCCATAAAAGATATTTATTGCCTAAATTACATTTAGGTGTCTTAAACCATTTCAAAAATATTAAAATAAAGTTTATTCAGGCCCCCTTCTGGGTTCATAACAGCACAGCAAAATTACTTTTCACGCTAATTTTTGGTGTGATATTTTTCTCACATTAACTCTATTTGGACACTGGTTAGTTATTTTATTATTTTTATGTTTCATTGGATCGCAAAAGTCCTTGCCGACAAAGTTTAAGTTCAAAATAAGTTGCAATATTTATACTTCATAGTTGTTTCTGAAACAGTTATTGTTCCATGGGATAGCTAGCCCGTTTTCGCGCATGAAAATTAACAAAAATAATTTAATCATTCGGTTACTTGCTAAAACCACAAATAAATCACTCACAAAATACAGCCTGAAACAAAAACTTTGGGGGTTTTTTGGGTTCTAAATTTCATTTAGGCATCTTACATCGTTTTGAGAAATATTAAAAAGAAAAACTTTTTCTTGCATTATAACGGAGACTTTTTCAGACACATGTTTATTAACCAAATATTTTGTAATATTCTAATTTACCCCAGAAATTAGTGAAACATTTTTTAAGCACCATGTATATTCTGACGCTAAGCAGGAATAAGTTTTTATGTGCGTTCATAACCAAATCGTGCTTAAAAATGCTTAAATGCATTGTTTCTACTGACGCCACAAAAATTTCAGTCTATATCTTACAATTTCTTAACAAATACGAATTCCATTCACATTTTAAGGTGTTTGTTTATCTTTAACTTGTTCAAACATAAATGCGAAACACAAAACGTGATGAATTGTGTGTAAATGACATCGACTTTTTCTAGAAGTACCAAAATTGAACAAATATCACTAAATTCGAAATCGGTATTTCGGATTCCATTACTGTAAATTAACGCTAGCGAATATTAATAACAGCAGCAACGTATTCAAGTAGACGATAAATAACCAAAGTCGTAATTATAAGCACGAGTCAAAAGGCAACTTTGTAAAGAGTATTTTAACTGCACTAATTACAAAAACATATACTGTAATGGGTTTACCGCGCTCAAATTTTAATGATCATAAACGCCAAATCCCTACTACGTTTTGGCTAGTATAACCCAGATTATAGTTTTACGGTTAATCAGTATCTCGTGCACCCAACTTTAGTTTAACTTGTATCTCTCGCATAACGCAAAATGAACGAACACAATGTTAGAATGCGATGCCTGTTATAATTTTTGTTTCGCAACAAAATAACAATGCTGCAACTCAAACCCGAGTATTGAAGTTGATGTTGTTCGCCGTGGCTGTTTATGATTTTAACTTGACGAGAACTTCGAGAATATATTAACGCCGTTTAAAAAATTACACGCCAAGCGCAACGGAGCGCAACTTCACTTAACGAATTGCAAGAGTGAAACACGTCCGCGACTCACGATGAATATGTTTCTGAATTGTTCCGAACACTCTAATGCATGGGAGGTAAGTTTTGCGAAAATATTGAAATTTTATTTAAATCTAGGAGTTTTATTTTTATTTCCAAAGGGCTACTAACGCAGGCCCTTTTAAAGGAGAACACAAATTAATAAAAACAATTCTTAATTATACCGAGAGTAGGTGTTAAAAATATCCTGAAAACATTATTTTTAAATTTGTTAAATGATATACCAAAACCTTAAGTTAATCTTCT